CTCCGAGATGTCCAAGGACCTGCTGCCCGGGCCGTACCCCCGGACTCCGGAGGAGCGGGCAGCTGCCGCAAAGAAGTACAACATGCGGGTGGAAGACTACGAGCCCTACCCCGACGACGGCTTTGGGTGAGCTGGGGGTGCCCCGCGCCCCGGCAGCCGGGGAGCAGGCCAAGGCCGGCACCTCCTGGCTTTGCGGGCTGGTAACCTCTGCTGGATGCCGGGAGGTGCTGTGCTGTGAGCTTGGAGCTTTGAAGGCGTGCGTTAGTGTTTTAAAATGGGAACAAATGGGATGAGTTGGAGGCCATATAATAAATAAGAGAATAAAATACTGTATGAGAGACTTTGTATGCTGTTACAATGCAAGGCTAAGAGGGATGAACAGAAAGCCATCTCTGGGATAAAGATTTCAGCAGATGTTTAAATGTCGGGGAATACTTTGACATGTGCAAAATGCACAGCTAGGGTTCTGTATCTCACTTAAGCTTGCATTTTCTTCCAGCTAGCATAGCCCAAAAAGGCCACTTCAAGGAATGCTATTTGTTATAATGGCTGGTATCCAGGTGATGATTGTTGTGCTAGTTGCATGCATGCATTTAAAAAATGTATATATACAAGAGCTATAAAAACAATGTTTAAGTCTTCCATTTCCACAGGCCTGTCTTATAGTGTCTCCTACAAAATGTATCTAAACTAATACAGATTTCTTGTATGTTTGGTTTTTCTGCCTGTTTCTCACAGGTATGGTGACTATCCCAAGCTCCCTAATAAGTCTCTTCATGAGAGAGACCCCTGGTACCAGTGGGACCAGCAGGACATGAGGCACAACTGGGGAGAGCCGGTAGGAATGCTAGCAGCACTTCTCACTACAGTACTACTGTTAGTAGATACTAATATGCACATCTTGGTGGTGCTTTCTGTTTAATTCTTTGTGTAATTGCATCCCCAAGTGCACCTGTGTGTTGCCTGTGCAAGCAGGGACAGTCAGTTAGAAGGAAACTTAAGCTATGGCCATCAGGGTAAATATTTTGAAAGCGCTGAGGAATGTGAACATCTTATTGCATACGAGGAGGGAGACTTTACAAACTTAAGCTTCTCTGTAGGAATAGGGAAGTCTTATCCATTTTTCTTTGCCTGATCTGACTCTGCATGAGAGCTTAGTTCAAAATCGTTTAGCAAAGAAGCCGTCATTTGAGTAAAGTCCTCTTAGTACAATGGAAGTAGCTATTGCTGCTTTATTATTCCAGGGTTGTTTTGGGGTAGAATATAAATAAGGAGGTTTTCTCTGAAGGAAGTTTGCAAGATATCCTTAAGAGAAATGGATGAATAGAGCACCTATGTTAACTTTCAAAATCTAAGTTCCTCAAGCTCCTTGTCAGGAGTAACTTTTCAGTTAGTGCGTGGTCTTTCTGTGAATGACAGCAATCTAAGTGTGATTACTCAACTTGGTAGCTGATGTGAGCTCTCCTTACTGAAAGTAGAGATTATGGAAGCACGTGTATGTAATATATCATAGTATAAACACCAGACCATCACAGCATGTGTACCACAGTAAAGTGCATGTTGTAATGACCGTAGAAACACATTAGAAAAAATCTGTGGTGGTTCTTTGTTGTGGTGTTTGGTACAGGAAGGCTTGTATAGGTACCCTTGCACGTGGGATTGGCAGCAGGGGACCAAGTGGAATATACTGCTGTGTTCCAGGTGTCAGCAGAGGCCTCTGTTTAGGCAACTGAATTTTGCTCAGTCTGGCGCTCTGGGTTTGATAGCCAACGGTTCTGTGTGTGAAGGAGAAAGCTGGGGAGCTAGAGGCAGTACCTGAGCTGCAAATTAATTAGTTCTCTGCTTTCATTAATGTGAAAGGAGGCTATAGGCAGAACGTGCTTGGGATTTCCCTATGCATACTTCAAGGCAGAAGCTTAAATGCCCTTCTGCTTCAATGAGGAAGGGCATTAGCTTGCTACCAGCCCTGCTTTTGCCATGCAGTAACAGCGGAGGTGCTCTACCTGTTTTGAGGAACCAGCTTCCAAGTGGCAGGTGGTTGCTGCTTTGTTTGAAATAACACTGGTACTTCTGCTTGGGTGTGTGACTGAACTTCCATAAATGAGGGTACCGATTTATACCGTGCCCTTTCAACGGTGCTAGGGAACAAATATAAGGTAGAGTGGTATAAATAAAAGCTGCTGCTATCCTATAATTAAGCATCTTGCCTGGTATAAGCAGAAAATCTCAGGACTGCAAATTTCATCCTGTGCAAGTGACTTGCCTCCTCTGTGGCTTTATCTCCACTTGTAAGCTGGAGATGAAACAGCTTCTGGCAGTTTTGTGAATGCTGTAAAGCACTTCTTGCCTTGATAAAAGCAGCTTGAGCGCTGTTAGTAGATGTGTAGCAATTTTCCTTTTTTCTTTAGATGCACTGGGACTTCGATATGTATATTCGGAACCGTGTTGATACATCCCCCACTCCAGTTCCCTGGCACACCATGCGCAAACACTTCCTTATCTTTTTGGGTACCATGCTGACCATGTTTGCTCTTGGAGAGATCTGTCCGTCTTACAGGCCTGTGGTGAGTGACACCCTTGGGTAAAGGGAGGAAAACCAGCTGCGTTTCTTGCCACTGCTGATGCCCAGAAGAGTGGTTTTGCTGAAGCTGGGTGATGAGTGTGAATGCAAAGCCCTGCTGCTGGCAGGGGCTGGGCCAAGGGATGTCCTGTGGCCTCGCCCAGCCTGAGTTGTTCTGTTGACTGTCTTGGCACAGCTCGCAGGTTCTGTTTCATAGTGAGTAGTTCCTGTTCGTAGGGAATGAATTTTAAGCCATGCTCCTTACGGTATCCCTTCTGTGGTCTAGGTATTCTCCTTCCCTGCGTGCATCTGCTCAAAGGAGATGCTTTATCTCTTCTCTTGTCCTGTGTTTTTAGTTATATCTCACGATCTGGATCGTGTGGAATGTGCTTCTGAAAAACACATCTGAATACACAAACAGCTTTTGCAATATATTATCCTCATGCTGTGAGATGAACTGTTGGTTAAGATTAAATGCAAGACCACCTCAGTGTTTCTGTTAAAGGACACGGGTTCATGCAAAGAACTCTATCTC